ATCACTTTCTCTATTTCGGACCCTTTCCCAAAACTTTTCCTTCTAGAAATTTTTCAGACGAATTTTCTTTGCTGGCTGAATTGTTGGCTGTTTAATTGTTGCATTAAAATCTTTTAAAGATCATTTCGTTGCTTGTTCATTTGATTGTTCGCTTGATTAATTTTTATTTATTGCATTTTTGGTTAATCATACTTATTTGATTAGTTGCTTGGTTTTCAGAGGCTTGCATAATCCACTTAACACATGTTAAATCGAGTATTGATTTGTGTTTGTTTGCTTGCCAACTTGATTTTTTCTAACATTAATTTACGGCTTGCTTATTTGAGTGTTTTATTATGGTTTTTGCATAATGGTTTCATTATCTTATTACTTGCCTAATTGATTGCTGTATTTTTTCTAACATTGTGTAATTGCTTGGAATCTGATTCGAATTTACTTGTTTTAATGATTTATTGATTATTTTTTGCAGTTTCTTTGATCGGTTGTTTATATTTTGAGTAATTTCTTTGATTAATCGGTTATTTGTTGATATGTTGTTTCATTGATTTGGCGCATGGTTAATTATTTGATTGTCAGTTGATTGATTGCTTGTTATATGGCTAATTTTGTTAATTTTTAGAGATTTTATCTCTGTTCAACATTATGCTATTATTTTGTCGCTAATTCTGCTGATCAGTTGGTCAGTTTAGGCTGCTTCACTGTTTAAATGTTTTCAATAGTTTTGTCTCTTGAATCTTCATGTATGTTATTTTCTTCTGTATTTTCTTTTCATCTTAGTTTGTTTCATTTTATTTTTATGTTTTTCAGTTGGATCTTTAGAAATTAGGCCGCATACATTTGATTGATTGATTGATTGATTGATAGATTGATAGATAGATTGATTGATTGATTGATTGATTGATTGATTGATTGATTGATTGATTGATTGATTGATTGATTGATTGATTGATTGATTGATTGATTGATTGATTGATTGGTTGATTGATTGATTGATTGATTGATTGATTGATTGATTGATTGATTGATTGATTGATTGATTGATTGATTGATTGATTGATTGATTGATTGATTGATTGATTGATTGATTGATTGATTGATTGATTGATTGATTGATTGATTGATTGATTGATTGATTGATTGATTGATTGATTGATTGATTGATTGATTGATTGATTGATTGATTGATTGATTGATTGATTGATTGATTGATTGATTGATTGATTGATTGATTGATTGATTGATTGATTGATTGGTTGGTTGACTGACTGATTGATTGATTGATTGGTTGACTGATTGATTGATTGGTTGACTGATTGATTGACTGATTGATGACCAACATCTTCAGAAGGACGTTAACAAGAGTCCCTCCTCCCACGATGAAGCCGACTACCTGAACAAGTACTACAAACCTGAAAACGCCGCCAGTGATGACGACGACGACGACGATGACGTCATTCACGAAAAGTTTTTAAAAGATCACAACCATAACCACCACCGATCTAAAAATCATAATCATCAACCACCTCTTCCGCCAAACCATCCTCATCTTAATAAGGACAGCAATAACAACAACAACCAGAGTAAGAACCATAACGACGACGAATATGATGACGACTACAACTACAACCATCCGTCGCCTTCAACAACTTTAACTGCATTATCGCCATCAGCTATATCATACGATCAGCAGCTTAGCTGGGGCCACACAGCAGCTTCAGCAAGCAAGGCAGCTAAATCAGCTGCTACAGCAATTACGGCGGCTAGTTCAGCTAATACAGCAGCTGCTGGCATCGGCGAATATGTTGTCCCGCTTATAGATTTTTCCAGTGGGAAATATAGCAGTAGCGGAATCACTGACTATGTAGTTAATAGGAACAGCGCTGCTGCTGCTGCTGCTACTACTGCCGCTTCAACGTCTACTACTACTCCTACTCCTACTACCAATGCCACAGCTAGCGATAGTAATACAAGAGACAAAGATAGGTTGAACGTGGTTAATAATAAAACTTCTGTGAACGCGAATGATGCTGCGAATGAAAAATTACTAGAGCGATTACAAATTAAAGAAGATGACGATGATGAGGAGGAAGATGATGAAGAGGAAGAAGATGATGACGGTGCTCCTGAGTCATCATCGTACGCTATATTAAAACACGATGACGTCAGCATCGACTGCGATGACGTCAACAACAGTAACAAGAATAATAATAATAACAGCAATAAAATCATTGATAGCAGATCTCAAAACATAAACAACAACAACGTCAACAACAACGTCAACAACAAAAACATAAACAACAAGAACAACGATATGAAACATAAAATTAACAAAGATCCTAGCAACAACAACAAACTATTGCAAATACTTAACAGTATAAACTACAAAATGGACGATAATGCCGCTACCACTACTACCGCTTCTACTGCTAATACTACTTCTACTACTGCTACTACTACTGTCGTTGCGACGGCTACTGCTGATACCACTTCTAAAAATAATTATACAAACAATAATAATAATAGCGGTGACATTAACATCAACCGACCATCTTGCTCCATTGCGACAGCTAATGTAAACATTACGAATGACGATATTGATGATGATAATGATGATGGTGGTGATGATAATGATGACGTGGTTGCAATTGACGCTGATGATGATGGTGATGGTGAGGATGATGATGATAATGAGGACCGAGGAGATCATGATAATGGTGATAATTGTGGGAGTGGTGTGGAGGCTAATAGCAGAGATAAACATCGCATCACCAACTATACAGCCATTTCCTGTATACCACATAATAATAATATTAATAATAATAATAATAATAATAATGATTATATAGTTCATAATTCCAAGTTTGCCAAAAGCGGAAAATGAGAACGAACGAACGAACGAACGAACGTATTTCTATCGACACGATAATTGATTCGTAAAAAAGTCAGATAAATTTTCCCCAAAAAAGACGCTAAATCGTCGAGACTATTAGGAAGATCTTCGAAGAATTTTATGAATTCCAAAACTTTACCTATAAAAACCCGAATAAATTTTTAGGGTTTTTTTTTGTTCCAAAACGAACGAATGGTTGAATAAATGGATGGATAGATGGATGAATGGATAGATGGATGAATGAATGAATGAGTGAATAAACGCATGAATTAATAATATATATATATATTAATATATATATATATTTATATATATAGATATTATTAACTTTATTCCTATTCCATCGCATTATAACACCTACAAACAATTATATGTATAATAATAATAATAAAAATAATAGTCATAATAATAATTGGTTATTAATATTATTATTATTACTGCTGTAAATATTGGTTTGTATATAATCAATATGTATATATACGTGTATTGTATGTTTTGTATTTGTTATATATATATATATATATATATATATATATACGTTTAAATATGGCCACATACACAATATATATACATGTATGTATATATATATATATATATATATATATGTGTGTGTGTGTGTGTGTGTGTGTGTGTGTATGTGTGTGTGTGTGTGTATATATGCATGTCAAATTTTTAAAGAATTTTGACGAATAATGTTAATAATAATTGTTAAGATTATTATTATTATGAAAAAAGAAGAATTATGGTTTTTATAATATAATTTTTCTTCTAAGTTTTTCTTAAAGTTAAAATTTTGGTAGTAAAAATTATTTCTTTTCGTTAGATGCCGCCGAATATAGGTACTTTACAATTTTTAAACAAATTATTTATTGTTGATATTATTGAATATTATTACTATTTGTATTATTCATTATTAGTATTGTTGTTGTTTTTGTTATTAATGCTGATGTGTTCGGCGAGTTAGCTCAGTTGGTAGAAGCGCCGTGTTTCGCGTTGTCATTCCACTATGACATGGTTCGAATTCGAACGTAGTCTGTCTGAAGCTGAACGTCAAAACATTGCAAAGTGTGAGTGTTTGATAAAGTTATACTGCAGTGTTTAAGGTGTGTCTCTGTGTACATCGCGTTTTGTGGCTCGTGTATGTACGTCGTATGGCTATGTGTGTGGCTTGTGTACGTCGTGTGGCTGTGTGTGGTTTGTGTATGTACGTCGTGTGGCTGTGTGTGGCCCGAAAATTTGTATCTGTATATTATTATTAACAAAAAACAATAATAATAATAAATAATAATAATAATGTTTAGTGCGTAATATGACGTCATCGTCGTCGTTGTCGTCATCAGTGGCGCCGGGTTCAACCACAAAAGGTATTTCGCTTCTGTCTCCATGTATATAAATAAATATATACACTAACTTCATGCAAACGTTCACACATACATCCAAAGTTGATAGAAACATTCATGTATATGTACATACATACATACATACATACATACATACATACATACATACATACATACATACATACATACATACATACATACATACATACATACATACATACATACATACATACATACATACATACATACATACATACATACATACATACATACATACATACATACATACATACATACATACATACATACATACATACATACAAACGTATAATTTATTATAAGTCTCTTGAATAATGGCCGGATGCCTTGTTAGTTATTATCGCTGGTGGTGATCTTTTGTTGATGATGATGATGATGATGATGAAGATGATGATGATGATGATGATGATAATGTTGTTGTCGTTGACGATGTTGATGATGATGGTTATGATGATGAAACAATCGATGATAATGATGATGATGATGATAACGACGACGACGATGATGATGACTAAAAAGTTATAAGCTCAATCACAAATACAAAACTTATGATGATAAGAACAATAACAGAAACAACAAAAACAACAACACAAAGAATGATAATAATTTTAACAACAACAATAACAACAACAACAATAATAATAGAAGTATAAATAATAATAATAATAATAATAGAAATAATAATAATAGAAACCCTCTAACTTTCAGAAGAAGAAGACATGATCTTAACCATTGATTTCTCATCATCACACAACATCGGATTTAGTAGATGCAGTTGAAAACTGAATGCTGCAGCTACCGCTACTACTACTGCTGCTACTACTGCTACTACTACTACTACTACACAAACACTGATGCTACTACTATTGTTGCTGCTTCTACTACTACTACTTTCATGAAATCAAAAGGATCAGACAATGTGTATATGCGTGTACTAGAAAAAACTCTTACGTCATCATCATCAACAACAGCATCATCATCATCATTACCAACCACCAACAACATCATCATCATCCTCATCATGAACAACAACAACATCGTCGTCGTCATCATCGCCATCATCTTCGTCATTATATGACTGAATGGTTAGCGTATGAAATAATCTCGGAGAATATATCTACAGAAGTTTCATCATAAAACCCTATAAACACGCTTTTTTGTCTGTCTGTATTTGTGTGTTTGTCTGTGTCTGTGTTTGTCTGTGTGTGTATGTGTGTGTGTATGTGCGTGTGTGTGCGTATTAAGAAAAGAATAGTTGAATATTAATATATGCTAATGAGCTAACATCCCCGTTCTAAGAACGAACAAGTTTGTTACTAGATAGATAACTACGACAACAACTATTACTACTACTGCTACTGCTGCTTCTACTACAACTATTACCACTACCACTACTACATTACTACTACTACTACTACTACTACTACTGCTAATACTGCTGCTACTACTACTACTACTACTACTATTTATACTACAACTGCTATCACAACAAAAACAACTTCTAATACAACTTTGATTACTACAACTGCTGTGGATGTTCCGGCTACTGCTCCTACTACCACTACCACAACAATACTTCAATAAAGTAGTCGCTTCATCAGCTACAACTGCCACTACTTCTGCGGCTGCTACTAGAGCCTCCAGTACTACATCCATTACTTCTGCTACTTAGTTTAGATAATGTTGTTGATTTTGAAAATTTTCAAGGTTTTTTTTCCTATACTTTTAGTTTACCTAAAGTTTTAAATTATTATCATCATCATTATCAGCAATATCACCATCATCATCATCATCGTAACATCATCATCACCCTCCTCATTATCATCTTATCACCATCATTATCATCATTACCATCATCACTATCAGCAATACCCCCATAAGCATCATCATTATCATCATCAGCTACCAAAAAAGTAAACCCAAATTTTTGTCAACTCTCCTCCCATTGGCCACATTCTGAGAGGTGGGCGGGTGTAATTTTAAACTTCCTGCCAATCAAATTTCATGTTACGGTTGGATGACTATTGTTGCAACTAAATGATTTGTACTTATATATATATATATATATATATATATATATTTGTTTATTTATTCATTTTTTTTATATTTTAACATTCCTTCGTTCAATGATAATTAAATATATTAATGAGTCGTGTGTATTTTACATTGAGAGAAATATATGCCTACCTCCATACAGACATTCGGAGAGCATGTCCGTATTGGCATTATTATTAAATTAACAATAAAATATTTATTTGTTTGTTGTTTAGGTAGTTGGTTGGTTGGTTAGATGGTTGGTTGGTTGGTTGATTGATTGATTGATTGATTGATTGGTTGGTTGGTTAGTTGGTTAGTTGGTTGGTTGGTTGGCTGGCTGGCTAGTTGGTTGGTTAGATGATTGAATAGTTGGTTGGTTGGTTGGTTGACTGGTTGATTAGTTGATTGATTGGTTGGCTGGTTGGTTTGTTTGATTGTCTGTTTGTTAGTTTATTATATATATATATATATATATATATATATATATATATATAATTATTCATTTATTTGTTATTATACACCGATATATATAGATTCAGTTGGTGAAAGGTCCGAGCTGTCATACCTTTGCCAAGATTGAAATACAAAGATTGGATAGGTAAATATAACATTATCACCAACCTCAACATCAACCGTTATCAACATCATCAGCTGCAACCACATCAGCTGCAACTACACCAGCTGCAATTACAACCTCATCATAAGCAGCAGCAACAACTCAATAAAATGCAACAACCACCATGTTTTCTTCAGCAACAACAGCAGCAACAAGTTTAGGAGTAATGACACCCTTTTAAAAATTTAACTAGATGGATTAATTATAAAGAAAATTAACAACAACATCAACAACATCAACAACGTCAACAACAACAACGACTGTATCCAATTCTTTCAAACTTTCAACAGCCAACTAACAACATAGATACATTTGAACATTTTTCAACATTTTTGACAGAGCCAACAACATCTTCAACATTATCAACATTAACAACATCATTAATAACATCAACAACATCAACAAAACAACAACATCATCAATAACAACAACAACATCAACAACATCGTCAATAACAACAACAACATCATCAACAAAACAACAACATCAACAACAAAACAACAACATCAACAACAAAACAACAACATCAACAACAACAAATGCAACAATTCGATTATTCCAGCTTTCCGTTCATTACGGAAACTCAACAAATTGAAAAAAATCTTTTCTCAGTTTATCAGTCATACTCTTATTACAACAACAACAACAACAACAACAACAACAACAACAACAACAACAACAACAACAACGACAACGACAAAGTAACATCAACAACACCGTCTTCGTCATCCCAGTTTTTATTAGGAAACCTTTACGGTAGACCATTTTTAATTTTTTTTAATTTTCACAAAAATATTATTTCAATGTCGTAAATAATACTATTACTACTACTGCTGCCACTACTACTATCACTACTACCACTAATACTACTACCACTACTACCACTAATACTACTCAAGGAGTATACTATTATTAGTAGTAAAGTAAGTAGTAGCAGTTAAGGTAGAAGTAGCAGTACAATAACGATAACATAAGTTGTAGCAAGTAGCAGTGGTAGCAGCAGCTACTGAAGTAGTAGTTTTGCTACTACTTGTAGCTGTAATACTGGTGGTACTACTAGAGCTGCTAGCAGTAATCAAAGTCGAAGTAGTAGTTATTTTGTCGTTGTTGTTGTCGTCTTGACGACACTATTCTAACGCGTGCAAAACCATTGCGTAACGACCCAAGCATTGTAATTATGCCACTTTACAGACAAACAAACAAACGAACGAACAAACAAACGAACGAACAAAAGAACGAACAAAAGAACGAACAAACACACACAAACACAAACACACACACACAGACAAAGACACACGCTTACGCACACACATATAAATGTAAATATATATATATATATATATATATATATATATATATATATATATCTCTTTTTTACTTTTAATCACTTTTATTCAATCAAACAAAACAGAAAACAAAGGCCAAAAAATGAAAATTACAAATTATTATATGGAATATTATATGGAATGTTTAATAATAATATTTAGTGGTTATATTATCTTGTCAGATTTTGCTTTGAAAGTTAGTAATAGTATATCAATAAGCAGTATAGATAGTAAAATAATATATCATTATCATTTTTTGAGGTAGTTGTAGTAGTAGTAGTAGTGGTAGTAGTAGTAGTAGTAGTAGTAGTAGTAGTAGTAGTAGTAGTAGTAGTAGTAGTAGTAGTAGTCGTTATAGTAGTAGTAGTAGTAGTAGTAGTAGTAGTGGTAGTAGTAGAAGTAGTAGTCGTTGTACTGTAGTAGCAGTCGTTGTAGTGTAGTAGTAGTAGTGGTGGTGGTGGTAGTAGTAGTGGTGATAGTAGTAGTAGTAGTAGTAGTAACAGCAACATCAGTAGTATTTGTAGGAAGTATAAACTAGTAATATAATCATCATTAGCATAAAAATATAAAACAACAAATAATAATAATAATAGTAATTAATAATAATACTAAGAAGAATACTAATAATAATAAAAATAAATAATACTAAACGTAATAATAATAATAATGATAATAATAATAAATTGTTCATATCGCCACCAGCATGAAAGAAATAAATAAAAAAATTATTTATTTGTGTGCCGCTACATTCAATGTCAATTGAAACATCGCTATTATAAATCTGTTTGAAATGTGACGGGTGAATGAATGAATGAATGAATAAATGAATTAAGGGACGAACGAGTGAACGAATGAACGAACGAATGAACGAATGAATGAATGAATGATTGAATAGATAGATGGATGATTGAATGAATAGTTGAGTAGTTGAATGAATGAATGAATGAACGAACGAACGAACGAACGAACGAACGCACGAACGAATGAATGAATGAATGAATAAATGAATGAATGAATGAATGAATGAATGAATGAATGAATGAATGAATGAATGAATGAATGAATGAATGAATGAATGAATGAATGAATGAATGAATGAATGAATGAATGAACAAATAAAACATCGATTTTTAATCATATTGCTTGAAAATGGTGATATTTAACATAAACAAATGACTGATGAATGAACGAATGAATGATTGATTGATTGAATAAATGAATGATTGAATAAAAGATTGATTGAATGAATGAGAAGATAGATGGATCGATGCATGGATGGATGACTCTCAATACATTTCAACTAGAATGTGTAAACATTAGTGAAAAGAACTTTCATACATATAAAGAGAGAGAGAGAGAAAGAAAGAAAGACAGAGAGAAAAATAGAAAAAGAGAGAGAGAGATAGATAGATAGAAAAAAGAATGGGAGAGGCGAAAAAAAAAATATAAAAGAGAGAGAGAGAGAGAGAAAGAGTGAAACGTTTCGTTTAAGATAGAGGTTATCACGCGAAGCAAGCGGCATTTTCAAATAGAAACACTTTTTCTGGGCTTTTGTAGGCATAATGACAGACAAACACACACACGACATGACACGTACGCGCGCGCACACACACA